TTATATTAAGGGAAAAATTTTGTCCGGCGTTGTCGTTGTTGTTGTCGTCGTCGTCATCGTTAATAATTGTTATTGTGTGCATAATAACTTTACTAATTCTATTCCAAACTTTATCAAACTTGATCACCTTATTCATCAGTATAAAGTCTTCCCTGAGTTTGAACAACAGATGTCCTGTATGAAAATATCATGCAAAAATTGAGAAAATCTGATAAAATATTTTGACTGTTTCTACTTGACTGATCACTGGTGATACACATCAAAGGTCACTGAACTGGGTGCCTAACTTTGATCAAGATCTGAAGCTAATAGAAAATCTGTTTAGTTCAAAGTTATCAAATCAAAAACAATACATAAAAAATACATTAAAAGCAAAACATTTCATCCACATTTTAAAAAGAAAATTATTCTAAAATATATGTATTCTGTATTTGACAAACAGTTCATTCGACAAATGAAAACTCACAGGAATATGTTTCAGCTATTAGAACAGAATGATAGAGTTTTTATAATACTAGTTTAAAAAACGCACTTCAAAGATTGCAGTGTTTGAAGATGTAGATTCTCAGGAGGCACCAGTACTGTTGACTTCTCCCTCCACTGGACACCAACTAACTATTTAAGTTGATTTGCGTACAAAGCAGGGCTTGCAACATGATAGCTATTCATAAAGGGTGTTTTTTTTTTACTTTTCATATACAGTCAAACCTGTGTTAACGACCACCTGTGCAGAGCGGCCACCTGCTCATAGCGACCACCTTAATACAGTCCCTTCGCAATTTACACGTTAAAGACACTGGATATAGCGACCACCTGTCCAACGCGACCAGCGACCACCCTATTGTAGACCTATTCACACTTTAACCTTTGTATAACGACCACCAACATTTCCATCAGACTGTCTCAGCAAAAAAGACAATAGCTACTTGCGAATCGCTAACAGGAAAGTGGCCATATGTTACGTTCAGATTACCGAGTACGCAATCTTTAGGGCTAATAGACAGGGGTACACTACCATCGCAACTTGGTTTGTGAAGTTGCGAAAAATTAAAAAAAAAAAGTTGAATATCATCTGAATGTAACGTCTAGAGACTGGAAAGATTTTAACAACAAATTAAAACAGTTTCATTCAAAGTTTGAAATGAAAAACTAGCTTGTTTCCGATCGGTACTACCCCAGGTATATTATCGATCCCCAGCCGGCCAGCGGCACTTCTGTGGACTGTCTCGCACATGAAGAGCAAATTCCCCCTGTCTCGAAAACAAAAAAAATGAACCA